CAGCAGCCATGATTGGTATGGCTGCCAATATGCGCTAATCATTTTTCCAGGGATACCAAACTGCTAGCTATGTGTGGTCCACCCATGGCTAGAAAGATGATACACATTTATCAGTGCAGCCTTAAAGTGAAACGGTCTTACAAAATTAAATGTCTACTTCAAACTACTACTTAAAGTGAACCTGTCAAGTCTGAAACAGCTGTTGTTACCATCATGAATTCTGTTTTATGTGTTGTTCTGTCTCTATGTTCTTACATTTTAAAAAGGAAGTCTCTGATTAAAGAAAACCTGTGATGAGAATAACATGGAGGCTGCCGCTGCTGAAAATGCCAGTTGCCTGACTGTCATGTAGACCATACTGCTTTAATACTCTGATAAACTGACCCAGAACAACAATGCAGCTAAGGAGTTCCTTTTTTGCTATGGCTTTCCTGACCTGCATTCTGTTTCAGTGATTCAGAAAGTTCTGTGGCATAGGATTAAAAAAACAAGCAGGAAATCAGCATCTTCAGAATGAGGTCATCCCATTGAAGTATTTGCCTATGGGGCAGCCCAATTATGTACTTCTCTCTGGGGCAGCCCTATGACATATTTCTCTTTGGGGCACCCAATGGTGTATTTCTCTTTGGGATAGCCCAGTGAGTTTTTCTCTTTGGGTCAAACCAACAACATATTTCTCTTACAGGCAATCCAATGATGTATATATATTTTGGGGGAGCCCAATGACATATTTCTCTTTGGGGCACCCAATGGTGTATTTCTCTTTGGGGTAGCCCAGTGAGTTTTTCTCTTTGGGTCAAACCAACAACATATTTCTCTTACAGGCAATCCAATGATGTATATCTCTTTTGGGGGAGCCCAATGACATATTTCTCTTTTGGTGCACCCAATAGCTTTCTCTTTGGGGCAGCCCAATGATTTATTTTGCTTTAGGGCAGCGCAATGACATTTCTCTTTGGGACAGGCAATGGCGCATTTCTTTGTGGGGCAGCCGAATTGTGTTTTTCTCTTTTGGGATAGCCCAATGATGTATTTCTCTTTGGGGCATTCTAATGATGTATTTTCCTTTGGGGCAGCCTGATTATATATTTCTCTTTGTGGCAGTCCAATGACATATTTCTCTTTGATGGAGTCTAATGACACACTTCTCTCTGGGGTAGCCCAATGACATATTTCTCTCTGGGGTAGCCCAATGACATATTTCTCTTTGGGGAAGCCCAATGGAGTATTTCTCTTTGGGGAAGCCCAAAGGCATATTTATCTTTGGGGAAGCCCAAAGACATATTTCTCTTTGAGCAACTCAATGACATATTTCTCTTTGGGGCAGCCCAATGGCATATTTCGCTTCGGGGCAACCCAATATGGTTTTTTAGCACAGGTTTCCTTTACGTGAGATACCTCTCTGTCGGTTACTGTCACTAAAATAAATGTCTAAAATATAGGGACCCCTGCAAAGAAGACATTGAATGATCACCGAATTGCTGATCTCCACTGTAGTGAGAGGAACTGTCAGCACAAGAATTTGCAGAATCAAACTCTGTCAGAAGGAATTCTGATCCCCGAGTGCAGCCTCTCAGTCTTCCTATGCTTGAGGAACCGCAGCATACGGTGGGGGGCCAGAAAGTTGGCACTCTCCAACATGTTGGATTTTGCCGATTCTTTACTGGCCATCTCTCTTCACTACCGCAGAGACTAGCAATGGGAGAGATAATCAAAGATGCTTAATTTCCTACATCCTAATACTCAACCAAAGATTGCCCTTACTTTTTAAAGAGAGCAAATATTTTTGGAACAGCCCAAACCTGTACAGTACGGGTACAGTAGATGCTGACCTACCTCCAAGGTAAACCTCTGGCACCCAAGCCTTACATTCGAACACGCTATGTAGGTGCCTCAGTGACCAAAAAATAGTGCTGAAGGATGTAGGATATCATCAGTCTGAATCCAAACCAGTGGAAGCCCGTGTGCTGAGTGCAGTAAGGTCAGGGGTTTAGCCTAAAATCCTCATCTGAATACACCAGCATTTGCTACCTGTGCCAGGTGCAGCATAGTTTTAGAACTTTTAATTAACATCTCCCGTTGGATAGGAACGTTTTTGTAACTCAATTTGCCTTTACTGTCCAAAGCTTTGCATGTCAGTGTAATCCATTTACGGCCACCTCCACCCAGTATTTCGGTTCTCATTGGGCACTACTGGGTTATATCACCTGCTCCTTCTATCTCTGCGGGATTCCAATGGTGAGATTTCTCTGCCATAGTCTGTACCTTTGTCTGCTTTTTCAAGGTTATAACAAAAGTGTCATGCTTGACTGGGCTCCCCAATTATTCGTTCACGGTACATTAGGCGGAATCCACTGGGAGATCCTGAGACCATCACTTGGCTTTATATTGGACCTGGCAGAGGAAGAAACTTTGAATTCTGATGGGATATCTAAACACGGGAGTGTCTGAGAGATGCAAGATGCCAGTGCAAGTGATTCACATTGCCGACAGCCACGCAAAACTGAAAGAATAGCTGTTAAATATTCTATTTAGAAATTATTTAATTTATTTGATTAATATGTATCCTCATTTATGAAAGCAGCTGGCACGATTATCTATTCTATCATCCTTAGCATTTTTTTTTTTTTTTTTATCAGAGTGGTGGAAGGGCTATAGAACATCTGTGAAGTTTTAATTGTTTTCGGTGTCCCTGCTGGAGGGGAATTTCATTTAACATCCTTTTCTCTCTGACAATAGACAGGAAGAAGGAACATTTTCCCTCACTTCTGACACCCATCAGACAGGAAGTATGTGTCACCAGAGGAGATACAGATAGCAATAAAAATTGACAGGGGTTCTAACCCTTCCGTACTCTATCCAAAACGAAATAAACTGTTTTGACTGGAGTTAGAATTTGACGTATATATGTAAACCTAATATAAGAAATGCCTAAAGTGTTACTAAGCCCTGGACCCTGCATTCACTATATCTGGTTTTCCCGGACCCTGCATTCACTATATCTGGTCTCCCCGAACCCTGCATTCACTATATCTGGTCTCCCGGGACCGTTCATTCACTATATCTGGTCTCCCAGGACCCTGCATTCACTATATCGGGTCTCCCAGGACCCTGCATTCACTATATCTGGTCTCCCAGGACCCTGCATTCACTATATCTGGTCTCCCCGGACACTGCATTCACTATATCTGGTCTCCCTGCACCCTGCATTCACTATATCTGGTCTCCCCGGACCCTGCATTCACTATATCTGGTCTCCCTGGACCCTGCATTCACTATATCTGGTCTCCCTGGACCCTGCATTCACTATATCTGGTCTCCCAGGACCCTGCATTCACTATGACTGGGTCTAGAGAATAAGAAGCATTCTGTGATTGGTCAGGGAGAGAGGAGGGGCGGGCGGTGAAGCTTCATATGATGCTATGACTGGTATGTAGGATATTTGCAGCTGGGAAGTTGGAGTACTGGAAGAATAGAAATAGCTATGCTGTGGGCAGACAGTGAAACAATCAATTGTATATTTGATTGAGATAAATGGAGAGAGCTCCAAAAGGTGGCACAGACCTTGTTGCACTTAACTCCTGGTGTGCCAGCAGATTTTAAAATTTTCTTTTTTTTCCTAGTGTTCTTCTTTAAAATGGAAAGATCAGCTTGATGTGACATTTATCAGTTCTTGTACCTCAATTCCATGTTTGGATTGCCCACAAACAACAGCAAAAGTCTCACTCGTTGTGGCTACCTTAGGTATTGGTGATTGCTGATTTTCTATAAATAATAACGATAAAATCCTGATGATCTCCTTTAAGCTGTTCTGTTCCAAATTACTCGTATAGAAAGTAAAACCAAGCCCAGGGTAAATCCTCTGGAGGGCAAGTTTTTAACTAGTGCTCTGCTGGACACTGATAGGAGTCACAAGACTGCTCTAACTGCTGATGAGAAAAGGTATTTAGCAGTTTGTATTTACTAAAATAATTGCATTTCCATTTTGTGTGTACTGTGGGAGATCAGATATAGTGAATGCGGGGTCCGGGGAGATCAGATATAGTGAATGCACGGTCCGGGGAGACCAGATATAGTGAATGCAGGGTCCTGGGTTTAGTAACACTTTAATTCTTCAGAGATACAGTCCCATACCCCCATCATCTGGCATTTTCCAACACAAGAACTCCAACTCCAGCAGCTGGTGAGCCCAGCATCATGGTGTCACCATCCCGCTAGTGGCTACCCCATAGCAATATATAGGGAATGCATTCCAGAGGGTGTGCCAAATCCAAGAGAATAACTGTCACCGCAAGATGGGAGGGAGAAGGAGATCTCCTCACCAGGGCCTTACACATCTGCAAGCAGAGCTGTGGATAAGGGGGCACCATCAGTCCTCCTGTATGGGGCCCAGTCCAGCAGAGGTGACCATGCAGGTGGGTAAATCGGATGCGGGCAGGGATGGTGATCAGCTCGCGTGGGGGGCAATTGCTGAAACCAATCTCAACAGCAGCTGAAAGAGAGAGCCATACATGGGATCAGTTCCAGTAATTGCCCCTCCTCTCGCACCATATATGTTTCCTCCTGCTGCCTAGGTCCCCGTGTGTGCCCCCACCCCTGCAGTGCTGCTGGCTTCTCTCTTCTCCTTCCCACTGGAAGCTGCAAGCACACAATTGGATCCTGCAGGAAGGGTCTGGTAAATGCGTCACATTTACCAGCCCTTTCTTTGTTGAATGAACACAATTAGTGATTGTTACTGATCACTCACTGTGTTCATTCATAACGGAAGCATAGTCAACTGTTTGTTTGGTTTTTTTTTTTTTTGTTGGGGGGCTGTCAGATTGGCTGTATGGGGCCCCATGGTTTCTAACAGCAGCCCTGTCTGCAAGGATCAAGCAGTATAAAAAAACATGTCTCATTCCACCTACAATTTCAAAAAATGGCTGGAAAAAAAAGACAGGAAAGAAACAATCACAATCATATGATGTAACACATGAAGGTAAAGACAAAATGGAACATACTTTATGACTACAGCTGCTGAGCCTCAGATGATAATCCTCTTCTTCTACATATTTCCTTTTAAAGTGTGTATTCCTGGATGCAGTTTTTGGATGTGAAACTCCCCTGTAATGTGACTCTGTGGTAATAAATCAGATATGACAGATGATGACACATAGTTCGCCCGAGGTTCTCCAAACAACATAACTTAGTTTCCTAAGACACACATGCACAGAAGACATCATGCCACACAGCGATACTCTACATCTCCAAACATTCCAAGTATAACATGGTGCTGGAAGACGAGGCAGCGTGCTACTCACTCCCACTTCAGAACAATGAAATATTGCAAACTGTAACAGGAAAAGTATAATGGTATATGGGCAGTTTTATTTTATTACATTAATATATTTTTAAACAGGTACCTATGGACTTTCTAAAGGGAAGTTACTGCTCTAATTTGTGTGTACAAATCAGTTTGAGTTATTGTGCTCAGTAAACAACTGAAAGAAAGGAGACACAGTAACAATGGAAAATTAAGCCTACAGCATCAACTGCTGGCTTGTAAATGGGAAGAATGTATATGGAAAATGTATATATATATATATATATAGTCCTGACTCTAATACCAAGATAATTAAACTTTTGTTGAAAAAAAAACATTCCCCTCTGGGTGAACTATCTACATTACAGGGATTTTAACAAATTTTGTTGCAGATTCTGACCCTTTGTTATTCTGAAGAGATCTGTTTGTGTCATGTGCAGAGTGAATCTGTATGGGAGTGATTTTATCATTATCAATCAGCTGCTGCAGGGCTCTAATGAGGAAAGTGGCAGGGTCTGCATCCCTTTATAGGTGTTTGTGTCCATGTGCAGAGTGAATCTGTATGGGAGTGATTTTATAATTAATAATCAGCTGCTGCAGGGCTCTAATGAAGAAAGAGGCAGGGTCTGCATCCCTTTATAGGTGTGTGTGTCCATGTGCAGAGTGAATGTGTATGGGAGTGATTGTATAATTATCAATCAGCTGCTGCAGGGCTCTAATGAGGAAAGTGGCAGGGACTGCATCCCTTTATAGGCGTTTGTGTCCATGTGCAGAGTTAATCTGTATGGGAGTGATTTTATAATTAACAATCAGCTGCTGCAGGGCTCTAATGAGGAAAGTGGCAGGGTCTGCATCCCTTTAAAGGTGTTTGTGTCCATGTGCAGAGTTAATCTGTATGGGAGTGATTTTATAATTAACAATCAGCTGCTGCAGGGCTCTAATGAGGAAAGTGGCAGGGTCTGCATCCCTTTAAAGGTGTTTGTGTCCATGTGCAGAGTGAATCTGTGTGGAGTGATTTTATAATTATTAATCAGGTGCTGCAGGGCTCTAATGAGGAAGGTGGCAGGGTCTGCATCCCTTTAAAGGTGTTTGTATCCATGTGCAAAGTGAATCTGTATGAGAATGAGTTTATAATTATTAATCAGGTGCTGCAGGGCTCTAATGAGGAAAGTGGCAGGGTCTGCATCCCTTTAGAGGTGTTTGTGTCCATGTGCAGAGTGAATCTGTATGAGAATGATTTTATAATTATTAATACAGGTGCTGCAGGGCTCTGCATCCCTTTAGAGGTGATTTCCCTTTGGGAGTATCTTACCAAAAATTACATTTTGTTACAGATGATGCCAAAATCTGATTTGCATCTCAGTTCAGATTTTTGTGAACACCAGGAAGCCAATCACAGAAGCAGGAAATGACATTTCTGGGGGGGGGGGGGGTGGTCTGTACACCATCAGTGTTCAGAATGACTCCAGGTTGCCATATTGCATTGCATTTTTACAGAAAATTACAGCACTGCAGATTGAAACGGACAGGTCATTATTAATAACATTCAGTTACGATACGGCTTGTGTTGCAATTGTATACGCTATATTTTTTTTTTTTTTATTTGCTTTTTTCCCACAGAAGTGGAATTACCCTTTAAAACATGTAGCAAAGCAGTATATATGCCTTTCAAGTGAACATGTAGTAAGCTAAACTACAAAGTTAGGGCAGCATTCAACTGAAGGTACCATAAGGTATCTCGGCATGCCTCAACTGGTTGCAGGGCAGAGAAATGTCATGTAACAAGAATTTCCTCACACTAACCAGGACCGAGGCAAGGTGCCCATTATTGTGCCAAGAGGCTTGATTGTTAAGATGATAGCAATGTCTTGCAATACAGCAGAATGGAGCATTTCATCAAACCGACTGATACATATATAGTACAGAACAGAATAATACGAAGGAGGGGAACCTCTCATTTATCATTTATAGATTGATTTTCATTGATGGATGCTATAGTACACCTTCCCTGAATGGAGGAGGGGAATGGAAAGGGCGGGCGTAGTTGTCACTCTTGATGAATACCTGTCACAGGTCCAGTGCTCATATTAACCCCTGTAGCACCTGAAGGTTACAGCTGCTGGGTATAGGATGGATGTAGAGGACTTTGGATTTCCAGTCTGAGAGCTGGCACCAGCACATGGAACATTTCTCAATACATGTATGCACTGTCCCTTGTGCTGAATTTTTAAATAAACTTTTTTACCTAAACTTAGGCAGGAACAGTGATTTGGGAGGCATACAAGGCCTGTATACTTCCCACATCACTTCTCTAGTGTTTAGAAAAGCTAAATTCAGGAGTGCCGGTGTGAATTTTTATGACTACCCAGTCTTCAAGGTGACATAGCTGCTGATCATCTTCACTGCCAAAAGAGTAGTGTTGTCACCCTATTACAGGAAATGGAAAAACAAATGGATCTACTGGCAAGATCAACAAGTAAAAAAATCTAAAAACTACCGTGTTAGTGACAGACTGCATCTTATAAGTCACGTTTGATTTTGGAAATAGTTATGGTTAATGAAGTTATTTCTAGCATCTCCTCTATAGTGGTCTCCTTATATAAGGGACCAACAAAGACATGCTGGTAGGTTCATTGGCTCCTGTCTAAATTGGCCCTAGTATGTGTATGGCTGTGTGTTAGGAACCTTAGATTGTACACCCCTTGAGGGTTAGGGACTGATGTGAATGTACAATATATATGTAAAGTGCTGCGTAAATTGACGGCGCTAGACAAGTACCTGTAATAAATAAATATATAATAAAATAAACAATCTTCTCCACTCTAACAGGAAAGGGTTTTATTCAACAATAAAATGCCAGATTCCACATCCATAACAGCTGGATACGGGGCCACCAGATGTATCTATTTTTCTAGAAATTATTTTAGATTTTGCTGAAAAAAAAGCCAACACTAACCTTTGTGTTATGGTAACAACAAATCAATACAAAATGCAGCTACTATAATTGGATCTTGAAAGGATCAAATCAGAAGAACAGATGATGAATCACAAGCCTCCTGAAAACTTCATGGTAGATGAGCCATTTATCTATCCAGGCAATCACAATTTACAAACTATGTCTGAACACATCTGCATGTCAATATTAAAAAATAAATAAATAAATAAATAAAAAACATGCTGATTTTTTGGTTTTTCAAACTTCACTGCCTTACTAGTGAAAAGATAACTTCTGATTGGCTACGGTGGGATATTCAATTATGTGGATAATTTAGAAGTGTTAACTCAAATTCTTTTATACAGGGAAATCCCCACATATTGTGAATTTCTATAAGCATGGTGTATCTCTCACTGCACTGGAGATGATTAGACTGGCCTCATTGGGAATACAAGGTTCGGTCATTACCCTGACAATGAACAGACTGCTTTCTTATTATGTGCAATGAAACACTGAGGGATGCAATTAACTGATTTATTAATCCTGTGTCAAAGAAGTGCCGCCATCCTCAGGAATCAATAAAGAGGTGATGAGAGCAGTGATGACAAGCTAAGTACAATCAAAGATGAATTTCAGGTATGGCAACTTTTACATAATTATATTGGTTCAACTTGGATCCATGTAAGTATATATGTGCCATACCTGTGGGATCTCCATGGAAGCTGGAAATCACTGTAGCAGCCACCCATGTAATAGGTCTCATGCTAAGAGACTACCCTGCTGTACTGTGAACACGGAAGGTTACTCGCTCAGCATGGGCGCCATTCAGGCAACACTTTACATTTGCTCTGCCCCACCTCTCCAGCTAGTCCAATCAGCAGGGGCGGACTGACAACTCATGGGGCCCCCGGGTAATAGGGGATCATGGGGCCCCTGTGTCCTCGCCCACACTCAAACCACACCCAAAACCTATGAAAGGTACCAGGGGCATCTCATGGGGCCCCCTACTGACCCCGGGCCCTCGGGCAGTGCCCGAGTTCCCAAATGGTCAGTCTGCCCCTGCCAATCAGAGAAAGCTTTGCATTCATTGAGAGAATGCAAAGTGTTCTCTCAATGGCACAACCTCCTGTGTTCCAAAAGCAGCAGGGCAACCTCTTGGCTCGGGATCCAGAAGCTAGTGGAGCAATGGTCCTTTCTACAGTGATTTCCAGCTTGCACAGGACTCACTCAGGTATGGCACATACATGCTTCCATTACTTCGAGGTGGACTGATGTAGCTACGTACAAACTGCCATACCTAAATTTCAGCTTAAGCCCTCATACACACGGGACATTTTGATAACGCTGGTAACGTTAGCTTTGTAAAGTCACATTAAAATGTGAGTTTTTCAGCTTTTTTTTAGCGCTTTTGCATTTGCGTTTAGTGGCGTTTTGCCACATTTGGCAGCGGTTTCCAACATTTTTCCACGTTCGTGTATTTTTACCCCCCCAACTTCTTTCTATGGTCAAGAAAAGTCCAAAAAATGCTGGTTTGCAGTGTTAGAGCATTTTTACAGCTAAAAAAAACTCTTCTAGAAAACCACTAGTTCTAGGGTTTTTTTCCAGCCAAAAAACGTTGATTACAGTCTATGTGTGCATGGACACATAGGATAACATGCTGTGGGGTTTACAAACTGTAGAAAAAAAACGTCAAAAGCCAAAAACAGCAGCTGTAAAACATCAAGTGTGAATGAGGACTTACCCCCGGTTCACATCTCTGCGGCAGTGCGGGCCGCATTTTGCACGGGCACAAGAGCCCATTCATTTGAATGGATTCCCCTTCCCATGACACGCAGGGAAGAAGTCCCTGCACTTCTTTGGATAACACAGCCTGCACGGGAACCTCGGTTCCCAGTACGGTTGCGTTTTCCAGTGTGGGCGGCGTGCCATTAGAACTAATGGCACCCGCCCGCAGGTCCGCATTTCTCTGTGCGGGTGGTGCGGCTGCACGGATTTTCGTGCGGATCCGCAGCGGCACCACCCACACAGATGTGAACCTAGGTTTAAGGTCCCGTAGATGTTGCAAACCTCAGCCAATTCCTGATTAATCAGCCAGCAGAATACTGTCCACTATTAGCTCATTCTCAACTGTGTTGTAACAAGTGCAGTGCTTTAGATTGTAAGCTCCATGAGCCAGGCCCCTCTATTCCTTCTGTATTGAACTGTATTGTAATTATACTGTATTGTGCAGCACAGTGGCTAAATGATTAGCACTTCCGCCTGGCAGTACTAGGGTCGTTGGTTCGAATCCCAACCACAGCACCACCTGCCTGGAGTTTGATGTTCTCCTGTGCCTGCGTGGGTTTCCTCCGGTTTCCTTCCACACTCCAAAGACATGCTGGTAGGTTAATTGGATCCTGTCTAAATTGGCCCTTGTATATGAATATGAGTTAGGGACCTTAGATTGTACACCCCTTGAGGGTTAGGGACTGATGTGAATGTACAATATATATGTAAAGCGCTGCATAAATGAAAGGTGCTATATAAGTACCTGAAATAAATAAATAATACTGTCCCCCTATATGTTGTAAACTGTTGGCGCTATATAAATCCTCTATAATAATAATAATAATACAGCTACAATCACTATAACCCCTTTCCCGGGCCAGTCCTGGTGACCTTTTAAACTGGGTCTTTAAGCTAGGGTGCAAAAACAGACTTCCCAATCACATGATCATGTTGATTGGCTGTCGCAGTGGTCACATCATCTGAAGCCCGTACTGCCAACTTTCGATCATAACCAGGCACCAGGAGCAGTGAGTGCGCTCTCATTACAGAAACCTTGGCTTCCATGGACACATTTGCGCAGTGTGTGGGCATTAAAGCACCACCTGACACACAAAAAAAAGATTTAAAAAAATTGAAAGAGCCAAATGCAAAATGATCAGCTGAACAGTGACTGCATCCTCTGATTTTTGGAACCCCCTTTCCAGGTCCCGGGAAGTCATCAGCATCCCAATACATTCTGAGATGATCTACGTGAACCTGTTCCCATTATGATACGGGGATGACACACACACCTCCTATGCTGCAATGACACTTGAAGCAGCAATGACATTACACTGATCAGACATTACACATAATGACAGTGATGTCACGTTACCTACAACTTATTATTGTTGTTTGTGCTGCACACTGGCTGCCATTTGTGTCTTGTAGGCGGTAGAGTCATCATTGTGTTTATCAGGCACGCACCTTAAATTTACTTATTATCAGATGTGTAACTATGGAAATGGGATCTGCAAGCTCACGAGCTTTGTCTGCCTGTCACCATTCCTGCCAACGTGCCAGAAAATGCAAAAAATAAAGGATCTATCCATCTATCGCTATCCATCCATCCTAAGTTCCTCAACAAAGTGATTGTGGGGATCACTGGAGCACTCAAAATCTGGTGCAGATGCACACTTTAGCCAATCAGCTTCTAGCTTCAGCTTGTTCATTTCAGCTTTGACAATAAAACCTGGAAGCTGATTGGCTACCATGCACAGCTCCACCAGATTTTGCACTCTCCGGTTTTAGTAAATCAACCCCATTGTGTTGGCTGTGCCACTTGTTACTGTGTGTTGCATCAGACAGCTCATTGATTTTATTGGGCTGCCAACATGCCACAATGTAGCAAACACCAGGCCTGAAGCAAATGATAGGGCCACTTGACACCTTGGCATTGTACAACATTGTATTATTGCATGCATGTTTTTTGCATGTTTCAACAGCTGTTGTGTTAAGGCAGCCCACTCAAATGAGTGCTCTGGTACCAACCCTAAGGCCGCGTACACACGTTAAGAAAGTCGTACAAAAAATTCCACGGATCCACTGATCGAAATATTTTCTCTTCGTTGATGAGCAGGATGTTTTAACCGATAACGATATTGTGAACAAAAAAATCCGGTTAAACAACAGTGAAAAATGTTGTCATTTCGCATACGAACGACTGATTTTCTCTGCGGTGTTATGACAGTTGTACGGAAAAAATCTATCAAGAACTATCACGCATGAGCGGAAGCAGAAGATGACCCGGATGTTTATGTCCAAGGAATCTTTGTAAACACGAACGAAAAATCCAAATGTTAAAAGTAGATTGGCCTAATGAGATGATGAAACCAGAATTCTGCAGATTATATTTTATGTATCACTATTTATGTATATAGATGATGTAATAAACGATATTATACTCATTGCTGGGAATTGTGTATATCGCACGTTTTGGCCGGAAGGGCGTGGCTACAAGGTCACACGCACACCGCATCACTTCCACTTGTACGAAAGACGTCAACACTACGTATTGCCCGACGAATGATTTTTTTAGATTGGTTAATGTGGGCCATGATTTCGACCAACGAACAAACGCCTCTCGGTCGTCGGATGACCGATCGGTTGATTTTCTAAACGTGTATGGGAATACTCTGTATTGACAAGCCTTAACACTAGCTGCATTAATATCAATTATGACACCAAGTTAAATTCAGGTACTTATACTGCCTGCATGTAGTTTGTCACACTTGAGCCTCATGCACACTGATTGTTAAAAAATGCTTCTTTAAGAAGTGCAGTTGAAGGCTCCACCAGCCACTTACTCGAAACCCTATCATATTTCTTAGGGCGACCTCTGTTTATGTATGTATCCTTCAGGGGCGGACTGACCATTTGGAAACTCGTGCACTGCCCTAGGGCCCGGGGTCAGTAGGGGGCCCCATGAGATGCCCTTGGTAGCTTTTTCAAAGGCTTTTTTGAGTTTGGGCAAGGACACAGGGGCCCCATGATCCCCTATTGCCCGGGGGCCCCATCCCCATGAGTTGTCAGTCCGCCCCTGGTATCCTTATATAGCAGTACATTATTATTTACCAGTTGCTTCAAGTAGGAGAGAAAAAAGCGGGCCTGTTTCTTCCAGTTCAGTGCTATAGCCTTCCAATCGCAGAAAAGTAAGCCTACAAAAGTGCATTCTGCAGCCATTGGGAACAAATTTTCCACTAGTCCCAAAAGGCAGCGTGCAAACGTGTTTAAATGCTTCTAAACATGCGATAATGCTAGGAGCGTCAAGTGCTTCAATGTCAATTCATTTCAACAGCCAGAAAAAAATATTGTTCTGGTCAATGAAATTAATTAATGCCCAAAATCCTGACAGCCCCTAAACAGGACTAAGCATGTTTACATTTACACGCGCAAAGTGTCTTTTCTGCCAAAACGCTGCTGCCAGGAGGAAAGGCATTTAGGAGATCTGGGCAAACACCCTGTGTACATGGGATCTTAGCCAGGTGATTTGGAGGCTTTTTTGCAAATTTGTACATGAACTTCCAGTACAGGAGCAGAATCATGCTTTTTTGCCCCTATGGATTTTTAAATAGAAGCACCAGAAAAACACACATGAAGTCTTTGGGGTCAAAAATGTGCGATTCTGCCCCAAAGAAGCATGCAACAGGGGACATGTGGCACAATACTCCACCATTGAGAATAATAGGATTCTCCATCTTCAGGATTGTCGCACTTCGGAAATCCCACAACAAAGCAATCAGGGGAGAATGGGGGCCAGTCTGCAGAACATATGCCTGCCGCAGTCACCTTAGCCTGATCTGTCATCATACCGCAGTTCAGATCAGCCTCTGCACAGAAACAGAGCAAGCAGGGATAAAGAGAAGGCTGTTTTCATGTTATGTGTAGTCCCAAAAAATTGCCTCAAAAAATCTAATCTATAGATACTGAGAAATGAAACAGATTCTTTTCTGATGTGGTGTTACAATGCAGCATGTAGCAGATCCCCAACATTCATTTAACTGTCCCCTTTAGCTAGGGTTGATGCTTACTGTTGGAAGCTGCCTTGCCTTTGTGTCCCCATTGGCCGCTAAGGCTGCCCTTCACAGTGATGGTCTAATAAGAATATGTGGGAGGGGACAGACCAGCCTCTGACACTAAAAGGAAGTGTCAAAATTGGAAACTAAAGGCAAAACTTTTTTTTTCATTTTGGATAGAGTAAAGCTGGGTATACACCAGTGAAGGTTCAAATGAAAATTTATGTGAAAATTCTCAGAACATCTGAATGTAATTTGGAACATATTGTTTGCTTTTGGAATGAATGGACTTTACAGATCACAAATCACATACACTGTTAGAAATTCCCTAACCCTCAAGGGGCATACAAGCTAAGGTCCCTAACTTACATTCATACATTACATACTAGGGCCAATTTAGACAGGATCCAATTCACCTACCAGCATGCCTTTGGAGTGTAGGAGGAAACTGGAGGAAGCCCATGCAGGCACAGGGAGAACATGCAAACACCAGGCAGGTGGTGCCGTGGTTGGGATTTGAACCAATGATCCTAGTACTGCCAGGTGAAAGTGCTAACCATTTAGCCACTGTGCTGCCCACCATGTAGCCACTGTGCTGCCCACCATTTAGCCACTGTGCTGCCCCATGTAGCCACTGTGCTGCCCACCATTTAACCACTGTGCTGCCCACTATTTAGCCACTGTGCTGCAACTTCCAATGAAAAATGTTGAACAACTTTATACTAGTGTCCCCAGCTTATGCGAGGATTATAACCCATCAGTTTTTTTTGTCACCTGTATCCCATTGGGGAGATTTCCCTTCACTTTCTGTCCCACATTCAAAACAGGAAGTGAGAGGGAATCCCTCCAAGCTGAGGTAATCCCTGGTTGTCGCCTGAACCAGTGTCCCTGTTGGAAGATTTCTCCTCCATTACTGTTCTGGTGACAACCCAAAATTTGTGATTTTCTTATACTTTCATTTTTTGTGACAAAGGTAAAGAAGATATATAGAGAGGGTGAATCTTGCTGACGGGGGCACAGACATCAATAAAAGCTGAAAGATGTTTCAATCCACCTCCACTCTTACAAACCTATAAAAAAAGTATTGCCATTAGTTATACTTGAAGTGTGGGATTTGGGGTGCGCCATGTGCCTGCACCGCTGCAGCATGTTCTTTATGACGGGTTTACTTTAAGTGTGCGCTAAGATTTTTCCTCTGGAGACAGAGCCGTCCTGGCAGAATCCAGGCATTGTATCCAGGCACAGCTCCCCTGACTAAGTGCCTTTATTAAAGATCAGTCATGCGGTCCTGTGAGGTGAATTCCCTGCAGCATTCTGGAAAGCTGATCCGTCTCCTCAGACATCCACAGAGCCCGACATGCAGAAGGTAATGATTAATGCAGATGAATGCACACAGAGCCTCTGCGAAGAATGGCATTAAAGGAGTTTTCCATTACGGTCAAACATATTTTATAACCGACTCTGGGGACAAAGCTTTCCCGGGCACTGCTTCTAATCTATATCCCAGCATTCGCCCCTGGACATCCCTCCAAGGAAAGCACTGGATCTTCCCGTATCCTCATCCTCAGAATGTGCAGACAGAAGTGTGTTCCCAGGTTCCAGCACTGTCCGCTCTAACCCCGCCCACATGGAGGGCTCATGCACGCAAGGGTTGCGTTTGATCTGCTTTGCCTGCAATGGATCTCAATAGGAATTTGTAAGAATATCTCATAGGTGAAGCGTCTATGTTAAATCTGTGATTTTCAAATTGTGAACTAAAGAGGGCCTCAAATAAGCCCCTGACATCACCAAAGGATGCACATAATGTTCATTATACATAATTCTTGGGAGGACTGCCAGAAACTGCAGACCAAGTAGAGGAAATGAAAGTCAGAGAGTGTGGGCACTCCACATTTTTGGCTGGGGATGGTTGCAGAAGACAATACGAAACTGGAAACGTTCCATGCGGTTAGTGGAGATCAATGATATCACCCTAATCAACCTTCTCACCAGGGGCGGACTGACAACTCATGGGACCCCCGGGCAATAGGGGATCATGGGGCCCCTGTGTCCTTGCCCAAAATCAAAAAAGAATATGAAAAAGTTACCAGGGGCATCTCATGGGGCCCCCTACTGACTCCGGGCCCTCGGCAGTGCCCGAGTTTCCAAATGGTCAGTTTGGGCAAGGACACAGGGGCCCCATGATCCCCTATTGCCCAGGGACCCCATGAGTTGTCAGTTCGCCCCTGTTCTGGATACTCTTTCTTTTGTGAATTATCCAAGAGTAAATAGCCCCGTGTTAGTACCCTTTGAGAGAACTGGAACTTTGGTGTGAAAACCACATTAACAGCTACATCTTTAACATACAACCAAAACTTTACCTGTGACATATTCTTACAAGTGTGGACTGAGTTTTGTGACAGTTGTCAAAAGGCATTAGTGGATAACTTGGGAAGATCGGTATGGTGCAATATACTGTTTATTAAAGCGGAGTTCCACTCACCCTGTCGAAAAATAAAAGTCTGCAGCTACCAAAACTGTAGCTGCTGACTTTTAAAAAACAGCCACTTACCTGACCCTTGGTCCCTCAGTGTGTCTCCCGCAGTCCGTTTCACAGGCCGTCCTGTATTCCAGGAGGCCGGCATCTTCAGTGTGGGCACCCGGCTGTGACAGCATGCGGCTTCAGAGTTGGCTACCCACTGCGAATGTGCGAGTTAAACTGCGCTTCATGAATGGTCCTGTAGCCTTCTGGGACCTGTCACGTGTCCCAAAAGACTACAGGTGGAAGGACACCTTCCGCTTCTGATCGCCTAGGCGATCGGACCGGAAGTGGAAGCGGGTACCTGTCAAATTCGGGTACCCGCTCAACCCCCACCCCCCAAAAGTGCCAATCCTTAATGGGGAGTTGGGGAGTAGTCTTTAAAGGGGAACTTCCCCTTCTGGGTGGAGCTCCGCTTTAAGTTATTGTAGACTGTGCTCTATGCACCTGCTGCTGTTCATGTTTGTAATTTCTACAATGTGATCATTTTTATATCTATATAAATGTTACCAACACTAATTAGAACTAAAAAAGCAAAACATCTCAACAATACAGGACAAATCTAGTTAAATGTGGCTAACTATTACTAGCTATACCATACCCAGGTATTGGTTATGGCAGCCTTTCTCAACCTTTTCAACAAAAAAGAACCTTAAAATTATTTTCCAGTCTCAGGGAACACCTGCTAAAAATGATTATATCTACATCTCATAATGCATTAGTGTGATGGTCAGTGGGAAGAATTACCCTCTGCAAATAGATCATTTCTCATGGACACCATTGATTTATTTATTTCAGGTACTTATATAGCGCTGTCAATTTTACACAGTGCTTTTACATATATATATATTGTACATTCACATCAGTCCCTAACCCTCAAGGGGCATACAATCTAAGGTCCTTAACTCACATTCATACATACACATACTAAGGCCAATTTAGACAGGATCCAATTCACCTACTAGCATGTCTTCGGAGTCTGGGAGGAAACCAGAGTACCCGGAGGAAGCCCACGCAGGCACAGGGAGAACATGCAAACTCCAGGCAGGTGGTGCCGTGGTTGGGATTTGAACCAACGACCTTTGTACTGCCAGGCGGAAGTGCTAACTATTTAGCCACTGTGCTGTCCTATTGATCTTTTTAGCTGAGAGGCAGAATTAGTTTGTTGTTCAAAGAACCCCTAGCAACATCTGGAGGAACCCTGGTTGAGAAACCCTGGGTTATGGCATAGCTAACCTAACTGAAAACCTTCAGTCAATCTATGATAAAGTTAAAGGGAGAATCTGATTTAGGCTGCATTACTCATTGGTTTCTTATTATTCTTGGGGGCTCCAGCATCAACCTCATCAACCTCTCTGTCAGTTGCTATTTCTATTCCCACCCACCTTCTTTTTAAAGAAGACATCTTTCCACTTTCATTACTATGTTATGGTCTGTCCCCAGGGAACAAAGTACTGCATGTGCTGTCTATGGTTAGCGGTGGGGTCAGACAGGGCACTCCTCATCCTTCTGACAATGCCGATAGAATGGAGATGGCAGATTTGACTGATTTAATTTTTCTCTGTCTCCAAGGGCGGACTGACAACTCATGGGGCCCCTGGGCAATAGGGGATCATGGGGCCCCTGTGTCCTTGCCCAAACTAAAAAAAGCCTATGAAAAAGGTACCAGGGGCATCTCATGGGGCCCCCTACTGACCCCGGGCCCTCAGGCAGTGCCAAAGTTTCCAAATGGTCAGTCCGCCCTTGTCTGTCTCTAAGCTCTTGCCTGCAGTGCCAGATTACCAAATAGGCAGAGTAGGCATCGGTCTATGTGCCCATGCCGACTAAGGGCCTTGTGACAACAGATCAAAATAATACTGATTTGATCTTGAAAGAAAATTACAATGAAGCTTTCTTATATTGCTTACAAAAGATACAAGAAATGAAACAAAAGAAAACTTTACAGATTCTATAGAGAAAATATTGTATTAATGTAATGTACCCAATAACAACCTAAAGTACAGAAACTGTAGACATCAGGTTCATATTACAGTATGTCTCTTAAAATTTCATCTTCTTTCCACTGTCAGTTTGTAAAAAAATTTGTTGTAGCCTACATAAGTGTAATGTACAGTAGTCAGGGTCATCTCCATCTAGCAGCTGATGTGCACTCTATACTACTTGCCTAGAACATTTTAGATAACAATCCCCCTCCCCTGCATTCCTTGTCTTGAGCAAGTGCAGTGAAGACACATGACAGTTCCACGTGTCAAAGCAGCCGTTTTCTTGCTAGCTGTGTTGTCGGACATCTGTGGACGCAGGAGGGGTGCCCTGTCCAACCTCACAGCTAGCATTAGACAGCCCATAGGAAGATGGCATAAAATACTACATTTACTTTGCCCCTGTACAACAGAACACATTGATAAAAACGAAGGTAAGGTTTCTTATTTTAAACAAGAAGCGTGAGATGTCGTCAGGAGGGAACTGCAGCATGTGTGCAGAATTTGGATCTCAGGCACAATGTTATCCCCCATCATGGTCCTTGAGAGATCTACAAAATCAGCATCAGTTTTTGGCATTATATATTTTGCAAGAAAAAAATAATTTGGTCCTGTTTCTGTCAAGGATCTTGTATACTCTCTCCCAGTATAATAATAAAACCCAACCTGTCATATAAAACACCATTAGTGTATTCTCGTAGTTGGATCAGTACAGCAGCCACGTACCTGTAGAAGGGTCACATATTCTGTACTCCTGGTGCTGGGCATGGAGAGAGGTGGAGGATCTGTCTGCGTTGTCCTGGGACTCCCACACACTCCTATAGTCCACAATGTCAGTAGCACCCTCAGAGGTAATGGGGCTGCAGAATCTGTTCATGGACAGAACCACAGTCATCTCTTATAACCAGCGATCTGCAAATAGACACAAAGCAGGGTGTAAGCATTGACAGCAGGCAGTTACAAATAACAGTATTGTGAAAAGTAATACACCCCAAAATCGTCTTCTAAAGTAGAATAAAAACACTAAATATACATCTAACCTCAATAGGATTTCAGAATATTGCAGGACAGATGCGAGGGACAAATTACCTTCATATACTAAGAGATATAGGGATTGATTTACTAAAACTGGGGAGTGCAAAATCAGGTACAGCCAGGGGCGGACTGACCATTCTGAAACTCGGGCACTGCCCTAGGGCCCGGGTTCAGTAGGGGGCCCCATGGGATGCCCCTGGTACCTTTTTCATAGGCTCTTTTGAGTTTGGGCAAGGACACAGGGGCCCCATGATCCCCTATTGCCCGGGGGCCCCATGAGTTGTCAGTCCGCCCCTGGGTACAGCTTTGCATAGAAACCAATCAGTTTCTAGGTTTTTTTTTTCAGCAAAGCTTAAAGCGGAGTTCCAGTTAGTTTTGTGTTTATTAAACGTCAGCAGCAACAAAAACTGTAGCTGCTGACTTTTAATAAACACACACTTACCTGTCCCAGGGTCCAGCGATGTGCTCACCCGTGCCGTCCCTTCTCTGCCTCTTCTCTCCCCAGCATCGGCATCACAAATGTGGGCACCTGGCTGTGACAGCTTGCGGCTTCACAGCTGGGTGCCCACTGCGCATGCACCAGTCGCGCTGTGTATTCTCATTGGTCCGGCAGTCTTTTGGGACCTGTGAAAGGATCCCCGGAGACTGCGGGAGGAAGGAGGGGGGCGTATTAAGCCAGAAGTAGGAGTGGGTACCTGTCAAAAACATCGCTCCTCCCCAAAAGGTGCCAAATATGGCAGTGGAGAGGGAAAGGAGGCAAACAAGCGGAGCTTCCACTTTTGAGTGGAACTCCACATTAATTGAACAAGCTGAAGTTAGAGGGTGATTGGCCACCATGCACAGCTGCACCAGATTTTGCACTCTCCATTTTTAGTAAATCTATCCCATTATCACTTGATCAGAAAGTAGTTCAATTCTGGAGTATGTATGAATGTGAATTAGAGACCTCAGATTGTATGCTCCTTGAGGGTTAGGGACTGATGTGAATGAACATTATATGTAAAGCGCTGCGTAAATTGACGGTGCTATATAAATACCTGTAATAGTAATAATAATGGTTCCTGTATTTGTTCACAAATCAGTCTTCTATGTGCCAATGTGACTGGCCTTTCACCGATCATTTGACCGCAGGGGCTTGGCTCGACGTAACACACCGGCATAATACAACCGTGTTCTATAAACTTACCTGTCCTTGTTATGTCAAATGAATGATTTCTGTTCCACCTTGGGGGCACTTCTAATCAAATGTAAATACTTTTTCTAAACTGTCGCATGCAGATGGTAAATATCTTTTTGATTGTTTAATTGTATTTTCGATCCTGTGGACCAAAAATCATGAAACAGAATCCAGATAGAATTGTAGGGTTAGTAGAAGTCAGCAAATTGTAATAAAAAATAAATGCCAAATAAAGGCCCAAGTGGGAAGCCAGCCATAAATATCTCAATATATATGAAAAAGTATTAGACACTTACATGCACTTAGTGGTCAATAATGGACAGGACACGCAGTTGTTATATATTAGAATTAAAGGCCAACCTATTCATATAATCACTAGTGTGTATTAAAAGGATAAAAAAACTCTATTTACATTTTTATTATTATTTTATGTACATAAACGCAATTATATTCCTCATTACTGAACAGTGAAGTGTCATCCAGTGAACCTGTGTTCACTCAAAAGATTCAAACTTACAAAAAAAAAGGTATTTTCTAAAATTCCTCAGCAGATGACTGCTCCCACGATCACTGTGATTGGTTTTTGTGCAACTGCATCAGACACGGGGAAAGGTGAGTATATTACAGATGGTGGTTGGTTTAATCTTAGTGGTTACCAGAGGTTAATATAGGCCATAGATAGAGTAAGAGATTAGGGGGTTTAATTCAGTTGTAGGGTTTGGTTGTAGGAGGATAGTTAAGGGTTAAGTGTCAAGGTAAAGCTAAAGTGTCTGTAATCCCCAAAAATGAACTTCTTTTATTTGCCCCCATTTGGTCTGTTAAATAGACCAGTGTTTTGTTATGTCAGTGTGAGAAGAAAAATAACTGCTGATCCTTCCAGAAATTTTGAGCTGCCATATGACCTGTGTACTATAGCTCCCTATGTTGTAGAGGTAAGGAATGGGGGTGGTTGTGTATACTCTGGCAAGAGGCAAGTAGGCAGGGCTGACACCAGTCTACATTTTAGCCAGGGTCAACAGGTATTTTTTGCTATTTGCAGGGTCAATAAAGGGATAAGGCCTCATGTACACTGCTGCTCCTAAATGTGAGTTTAGGAGCTTTTTTGTCAAAGCCCCTGAACTCAACTCCATAGAAGCCTATGTGTCCATGTACTCCAAGGCTTTTACCAGAGTTTAGGCGCAGCAGAGTTTAGAGCAGTTAAACGTTCCTCTCCTGAACGCAGAAGAATCACATTCAGAAGAGGAACGTTTTGGACAAAAACGTTAAACGCAATTGGGCATTTATTTATGTCAATGGAAAAAATATTCTGGCCAATCAAATGAATAAACATCCAATCTCTAAACGCCGTTAAACACGTGGCTAAACGGGTCTGTGTTTTTTTGCCACATTTAGCGTTTTTCTGCTGCCAGGAGAGCTAAACGTCTAGGGGAGTTCATGTGTACATGAGGCCTAAAACATTGGGAAATATGTATGTACTTGTAAAATTACTGGGCATGTATTCTGTATGTTCTCGGAGTTTTCAGAGAACATACAGATAACAGCAGTAATACATAGTGGTGTAGAGTATTATTATTATATTATTATTATACAGGAAGCGCCAATAGTTCGCTCAGCGCTGTAATCACTGAACAATACCAATACAATGCAAAACATGAGGGGATTGAGGGCCCTGCTTTTTCGAGCTTACAATCTAGGAGAATACAGAAAGCAGCAGTAATCACTGACAATGAGGACGTTTCTTTTTAATTCTTCCCTGACATACACTTTAAAGCCTAACTCCAAATTTTAGTTAAGTATCAAGAGTTTGTTTGGACCAAGCTGGTCTAAATGGACTATTTACTTCACTAGCAGATGTAATGGCTGTGAGCTTAATATGAACTGTGTATAGCCGCAGCTGCATTCAGTCAGGAGCAGGGGCAGACTGACAACTCATGGGGCCCCTGGGAAAGAGGGGATCATTGGGGCCCCTGTGTCCTTGCCCAAACTCAAAAAAGCCTATGAAAAAGGTACCAGGAGCATCTCATGGGGCCCCTTACTGACCCCGGGCCCTTGGGCAGTGCCAGAGTTTCCAAATGGTCAGTCCATCCCTGGTCAGGAGCAGACTGACCATTCGGGCTCTTGGGCAGTGCCTAGGGGCCCGGGGTCAGTAGGAGGCCCCATGAGATGCCCCTGGTACCTTTCATAGGCTTTTTTGGGTGTGGTTTAAGTGTGGGCGAGGACACAGGGGCCCCATGATCCCCTATTACCCAGGGGCCCCATGAGTTGTCAGTCTGGCCCTGCATACAGTATACAGCGCTGTGCTCCTCCAGTGGAACGGGAACTTCCTGTCCTAGTCCCGGAACAAAACTGAGTCAGACTGAGTGCTGTTCATCCATTCAGAAAGAGCTTTGTATTCTATGAATGAAAACAAAGCTTCCTCTGATTGGCTGAGTCAAAGTTTGTGACGTCATCTGCTTTCCTGTCCACCTCTGCCAAACAGAGGAAGGTTTGCATTTATTCATAGAATACAAAGCTCCCTGGTAATGGCTGAGTGGACTCGAATTTGTACTGAGAATGGGATAGGAAGTTCCCTACTTTATGCTGGAACACAGCGCTGTATTGTGTGTAGCTGAGACTACAGCCACTGCATGTTAGTGAAGTAAATAGTTAGTTTGGACAAGCTTCGTCCAAACAAATTATTTAATTTTCACGAAAACCTGGACATCTGCTTTAAGGTCTTGTTCAGATGGGCAAATGAGGACAGACAGGCATCTGCATTCAGATGTGGCTAAACATCACTGTGATTCTGAGCTATGGCCTCAATCAAGCAGAACAATTAGCTGTGGCTGTGGTTTGTATCTGGCCAGGAATGGCATCTCAAGATCAAACTGTCTGCTTTCAGGGCCAGTCTGGTTCCCTATTCTCAGGTAACTGCTTGGATGAACTGTTAGAGGGTCATGGCAGCACGGCTACGGGTTTGTAAGGCGTATAAATCTGGCAGTGCCTCTACTAGCCGTGGTGGTTCGCACCATCTTGTGTTTGCAGCTAGTTTCTCCACCAGCAAGAATAGCTAATTCTTGTAGGAAATGAAGCCTACGTATTAGGGACTCACTTTAGAGCTAAGCTTAAGTTTTATGGTCAGTTAATGTGTAACGGCGTTAACGGATTAGAGCTAAGGATTGAGCATTTGGGGTAGAAATTAGGTTATTACTTGTGGGATGGCTAAGTGTTAAAGAAGAACTGAACTCTGGAAGCTGTGCCCAAAACAGGCAAGAGGGAAAGGACTAGTCACCAGTACTGTCTGTGGTCCTCCTGCAGCTGATCTTTACCTCACTGCTGATTTACCAAGTCTTTTTACGCTTTATGTCTCTGTGTAGAAACCATCTTGATACAGGCGGAGCTTTGCTTTCTCAAATCATAGTCACCCACTGCTAACTGATGATCTGATGGCTGACAGAGAAATAGTCAAGCAGGAGAGGTTCAGAAAGCACAGATCCACATAATGAATCGAGCATGATGTGGAGAGAAGGCAGATCATTGTACTGCAGGTCCCCAGGTGTAGCTTTCTCTCCAGCAAGGAAAACAGTGAGCAGCGCAGTAGTGGCATCACCAAATCTCATTCCGTATTTTGTGAGACTAGCAATCAGAAGCTGCAGTGCCTTAGATCTCCAACTGCAGATACACAGCTATGAGTCTCAGAGTAC